AATATGCTAGTTGGGTTAGACAATGTCACAATGATTTAATGATAAGAACCTTGCTTTTCTTGTGTACAAATATAAAAAATGTTTGCTAATATTCACAGCCGATCTAGATCTTAATAGCTGCTAATTCAACATATTGAATGATCTGGTAAAATATGTGACTTGAATATGGAAATCCCAGCCAAACCGCTTATGCGGTATGATTGGAAAGTTCATTTGCTGTGAGTGTCACATTTTGAGGTATTTTCCGATAAAGTGAACCATCCTCTGGAGCAGTGGTTCCCAACCTGGGGGGCGCGCGCCAAAGATCGCAGGGGGTGCGCCAGGCCTCAGATGAGTTGAGGCCAAATATCATATTTAGACTTTTTTTTTTTTTTTTTAACATATAATTGTAAAGCAATACATGATTGTCACTAAAAGCCTTGTCTCTACATTACAATAAAACATAAAAAATTATTGATTAATTCAATTGAATAAAAATTCAAGTTAGTATTAAAGGCATAAAAAGACAGAAATGTATAATTCTTTCTTTAATAGAAATGTTTCTTCTGCCCGTAAAGTGTCCAAACCAGGCTTGTCTTGATAAGCGCATTTTTAAAACATAGTCATTGTCCATGCCGGTTTCAGTTGGATTATTTGTCACAGTTGCTCCGATCAGATCGGTCTCCTCCATTTTGTAGATTATTTACAACTTTTGAATCCACATAAACACATCGGGAACATCCGGTTTACTTTGAGCATGTGTTTTAAACAGTTTAATCCCTTTGTGAATTGTTTCCACTTGCGGCATCCTTTAATTTCTTCATACAGCGGGAATCCAAATGAATTAATCCTGAGTCCAATAACCATCAAAGTCACTCCAATAGTGCTCCTTAATTACGCTTTTCTTCCTCCTTTAACAAAATACTTCACATTCCTCCAGTTTGTGACAGTAGTTCTAGCATTTTTGAGACTTTTAAACTTTAATTACCGCTGTTGCGCACCCCCCCCCCCCCCCCCTTGTGTGTGGCGCAACTTCCAACCGGAGTCATTTGGGGGGGGCTCTTGGGAAAAAAGGTTGGGAACCCCTGCTCTGGAGCTCATTTCCTCCATAAAAGGCTTGTCTCGGGGTAACATTTTGATAGCACTTTAATTTATTCATGGCTTGCCTCAAAGTGCTGAACAAGAAGATGCATCATTTATCAGATTTTCACAACTGTCCAGATTTAACCGCACAGAAGGTTGCAAAACGTAAACAGCAGATAGTTTGTTGAAATAGAGCTGGGCGATAATTCTATGAATTTGGCACTACTGCTGACCTTTTGATATCACAGCGCCAATGATAAAGTGTTCTTATTGGAAATATTAATTGCCGGTTAACTTGATGGTCAGAGTTTACAAAAATGTGGGTTTGGGCTCCAAATGTTCTTTCTGTGCTGCCAATTTTCCAATCATTACTGATGAGGTTCAGTTGACATGTGAGATGAACCAGCCACCCATTTCCCCCCTCTTTTTCTTCTGGATCCCAAGATGCTCTGATGGCACGAGGTATTTGTCGAAATCAATAACAGAATTTTGCAGCTTAATGTCCAATTAGCTTTCCAAGGTCCTTTTGAATAGGCAGTTAGTCAACAATTGTTCAGCCTCCTGTCTTGTTGTACCTGTCCTTGGCATATGGGCCAATCAAAACTTGATGAAGCATCCAATCAACACACAGAGCCGGCCAACACTTAAGTGTCCATGTCATGGTGTGTATTAATTTGATTTATAATCCTTGGTGAGTGCGTCATGGGAGGCCAAAAACACAGAGACGCTCCTGGCCCTGGTTTTCATTAGCTTGGCTGCCTGCCTGAGGAAAGCATGGAGGAGGATTTGGACACTGAGCCTCACATGGTGGCATAAAGAGGAAGGCAGTTAGGCATGAAGGGAAACGGGCGTATTTTGCTATCATAGAAATACACAGTAACTGATCTGCTACTTCCTGTAATGCGATACAGTGATGCAGATACCTGGTTTTAGTTTCTACTCTCCTCTAAGGACTCTCTCACCATCAGGACTACAACTTACACATATTTAACTGTCAACTAATCTGCCAATTATGTCCTAGGCTAATCCTTTGGTCTATAAAAATGTGAAAATATCCATCCCAGTTTACACAAAGCCAAGTTGATATCTTTAACTGTCTTGTTTTGTCAGTCAAAATCCCAAATATATTTAATTTTAAATCAAATTCAAAAGGCTAAAAACTACATTATTTGCCATTTTTGCATCGAATATTACTCTAACAATTATTCTCTTATCAAAATGGTATTGTATTGTCGATGGACTTGTCATTGCTCCTTTACTCATAATGTGGAGATTTAAAAAAGTTCCAAACGGATGCAAAAAAACATGCAGGAAGAGCTTTGCTGCTACAAAGATTCTTGACCTGCTGCCATTTATGTTCCTGGAAAACAATATGTTCAAGCAGTTGTTGCTTTTAATACATACCTTTATTAATACCATTGTTCCCTTTTGAGATATTTCAAGGTTAGTGAAAACGCAACAATGTCATACCCTCTGCAATAGTAAAATAGCCAAATATTTTCACATTTTCGAGTGGATGGAACCATGAAAATGAACCAAAGTAACCAAAAACAATATCAGAAAAACTGTGCAGTAGCATCCCTGCCATCATCCAGGTCATATTCAGGTCATAGAGATGCTGTGAGTGGCTGACAGGCATGGAGAGATGGAGAGAGAGAGATTGGCTGATGGACAGATGGACAGATAGGAGAGCTGCCAGGTCTACAGACGATATGGTGAAGAAAATCATCAGATGTCAGTAGAAGCAGACAGAGATTGACACAGACATATAGACAGGAAATGCACTTTCCCAAGCTTGTCGATGCCACTTGAATAAGGGCTGTGTAGGAGGAAAAAACACTGAAATTGAAAGAGCAGCACTAAAAGCTGGCCCTTTTCTCGCCTGTGTCGTCTTCCCTGTTTGCCCCGGAGCTCCTCTTTTCAGCATAAGCCTCCGTGTCAGGGCTCAGCGCACAGTCTCTATCCTCAGCTTCCCGAGCCTTGTATGGAAAATTATAATTTAGTTCTATCCGGATGCCAAATGTCTACAGATACAGAGAAAGGAACGCACTCGAACATTAGTGTGTGTGTGTGTATTTTTTAATTGTTTATTTCTAGTAGGGCTGCTCGATTATTTGGGTCAATAATTGATATCACGATTATTAAAAACGATTATCCATTTACTTTGAAAACATCAAAAGTGTATCTCGAGCCGGTTTCTCAAACTTACCTACCCCACCTTTAAGCCTACTAGGGATGGGAATTTGAAAGCAAATGTATATTCGAATATTCGACCCCCCAAAAAACGGTTAACCGGTTAACCGAAATGTACATATCCTATAAAAAATGTGTTCAGAATTTTTTTTTTTACTCAATTTTTTTTCAATAATTTTTGGAAATAAATACATACATGTTCAAATAAGTGTAGAAACCAAGTCGAATTTGTCAAATGTATTGAACTGGTGATCACAGTTTGACAGCTATAGGCCTACAGCTTTCATGTGCGGGATTCACAATCAGCCCAGCTGTAGAGAAGACCCTCTCAGCTGGAACGGAGGTTGCGGGTATAGCAAGGTATAGCATGTATATAAGTTTAATTTGGCATAGTTTGACGTCTACACCGCACTCACTAACCTGGTCGAAATATTTCCACACATTACTCCATTTTGACGCCATGTCTGTTGTGTAGGACTCTTCTTAGAGTGTAAATAATTACCGGACTATGACAAAAATATGTTGAATACCGGCAAAACTAAATCTCTCCAGTCAAAATGTCTGTACTTTGCCGCCACACACGGTTGCCAAGCAGCGTTTATTGTTGTTTAGGCTGGCCACTCATGTGTCGCGAGTGTTGACAGGGGTCGGGGGAGCACGCTCATGAACTGTTAGCGCCGGAACCTCGCAACGGCTGCGGAGCGCATTTGCGCCACATTTGGGCCTAAGATGAGGTTTGAGTCTGCGTGATCTGCGTGTAGGGAGGGGCAGCAGCCATATCATTGGCTAGAACTAGCTAGATCTGATAGATTTGGACATAAACGCGAGTGAAGTATAACCGGACGCGAGAGAGAGAGATCAGCACCTGCAGCTCTGCCCGCTGTGAGGGACCGGTGAGCGGAGCAAAACACACCTTTAGACGTCAACTAACACATTTAGCTATGGCACTGTCGTGTATATATACATTAAATTATTCAATTTGATAATATGTAATCAAATTAGGCATCCCTCCCAAAAAAAATTAACATTTTTTTAAATACAAATATTCATAACTCATATTCGAATACATGAATATTTATTCGAATACCTGAATCATTTCGAATATTCGATTAATCGTTCCCATCCCTAAAGCCTACATTTGATTGGGTTCAGTTGACCTGTTTTTAGCATCAATATGCGAGAGATGTAGCAGTTAATTGATTAATTGATGAATTCATAATGAATTGCTCTGCCCTGAGGTGCCACTTAATATCATATTGACAGAAAGCAAAGGTTGTAATTCAAACAAATGGCTTTATAAAGGAGCTCTTTCTACCTCAACAGTAATGCTGTTAATGATTATGCCTCTAAGAATCACCTGGGTCATTTGTCAAGAATATCCAATCACATGCAGCTACTTCATTCTTCTTGATGATACTATATACAATACACATATTGTTTGTTCTGCTGCTGTGTATGTTTTTGTTGGTGCCTTGACTGATTTTAGTGGCACCATGACTGATTCCAGGGACAACAGCTGTTAAATCAAAATTATATTTCCCTAACATTCTTAATTGTAAGTCAATTTAAACTAAAATCAAGTTGCAAATGTTAACTTCATCATCCAGAGATCTTCATCAAGGCCATATTCTGAAGGTAGAATCATGTGTTACGGGATGTGTGTCTGTGACGTTACACTTGTGTTTTGCTTTCTCATGAGGCTTCACATCTTCTCATATGTTGTTTTGTTGTCTTTGTTGTTTCAGATGATGAAGCATGCATGGGACAGCTACAGGCAGTACGGCTGGGGTCACAACGAGCTGAAGCCCCTCGCCAAGAAAGGACATTCCACAAATATCTTTGGTAAGCCAGACAGACCGTTGGCAGTTACATCACACATGGATGCATGCATATACAAACACACACTCTGTCTCTCACACATACTCACACTCAAGCGCCCTGCCTTTTCCCTTGTGGACAAGGTTATGTGATAATGCCTCTGGCAGGATGCATATCCCTTTGGGAAGAGTGGTTCTGGACAGAAGCACACACTCACTGAAACCACAAGGAGAAAACTCACATTACTGGTAGAAAATCAAATGTATATGATGTACTGGTAATATTTGACTTAGTAGAATGGACTTTGCATTAGAGGACAAACACTTTGTGAGGTCTTCTTCAAGGTCCAGTCATAAGGGAAATGACTGTTTGTAGAGAAAGGAACCTTGCCATTGGCAGCACTCATTTCTCCCAACGAGAGGTCAGCCTCATCATCTGTGATTTGTGTTTTTGGAGGCTGTTGGTTAGTATCCGCCGCTGCAGCTCCCATCTGTTAGTGCTGGTCACAAGACTAGGACTCCATTGTTGTGAGAATTAACAACCAACAGAATCACTCACAACGTTTTTAAAGTTATACAATTGTATTGAAAACTAGGCTATGAATACCCTACAGCTTAGTTTAAAGCACGTGTAGAAGAAAGGGTATCGTCAAAACAATCCCCTAGCGTTTTTCTATTGTCCTCAAAGTTCACCGGACTGAAGAGACATTTTTAAATTGTCCAAATCATTTGTAAAACTAGACCATGCATACACTATAGATTAGTTTCAATTGCATGTAGAAGAAGACTGTCTTCCAAACAATAAACCACTCTCTTTTCCCCAGCATTTCTTCTGGTGTCCACCCAACCAATACTCCAAAAACATCAGAATTGTATATTTTCACTGTGACTCATCTCCTTGGCATACTCTGCTGCTCCAGCGTATTCTCTTGTCAGGCAATAGCATGTCTTCCTCTGTGGTCGTGGGACTCACAGTGGATAAAGATGGTGGAAAAATCGAGCCCACAGCCCCAGCTTTCATAAAGATAATACTAATAAACACATGGTGAGCACTTTCATGGTGAGCAATAGCGAGATAAAACGGATTAGTGTGCTGCAGGCATCCTTTGCTTTTGTATTATTACTCTCTTATTATTGAGATAGCCATTGGAACTTCTATTTAAATTAAGTGTGTGTGTGTGTGTCTTTTGTGTCAAATTGGAATGTTCCGTCTGTTATTTTATGAGCCGCTGCTAAATGGTGGATAGATTATGTTTGTGTGTGTTTCCATTTAGTGCTGTTCTCGACTCTCTTGCCTGTTCATCTACAGCCTGGCTCGTCGTGTGTTTAGGTTTTCTGCTGCCTTGTAATGGTTGAGTCAGGGTATCTGCACAGTCACAGGATGGCCAGGAAAACTCAAGCGAAACACCAGGCAAAGAATCAAGCGTCTCGAACAAACCTCCATTATTGACGAGGCGTGTACTGTCCTCCTACACAACTTGGCTGTATTGATTATGTGTGTCTTGGGAGAAAGGCTAGCACAGAAAAGCGAAAGCAATACTCGGCAGACTCTTGTTGCTGTGCTACTGTAACTATTAGGAGCATTGACAGCTTGCTCCAAAGGGACACACACACTCACAAAGTCTGAGTGATTGGATTGAAACGGGGATTGCTGATCGTCTGTGAATTGGGGATTTAGATCACTTTGATGTTTGTGTCGTTTAGAGTGAACCCTACTGCTATATACTATGATGGTAAAGTCAATCCAAGACTTTGTACCCATTTTATCATGAGCTTAAAGCAGACTTCAGAAACTGCAGGACATATTTTAGTTTGCTGGTTCATCATGGAGTGGTGCATTGATGAGATATTTCGTAGGCCGACTTACTCAGACGTTAGCATCTCAAGGGTTCGCTCGACAAAAAGTGTTCTCTTAAGTTTGTGTTAACCACAGAAGATATTGTAGGCATCGAACCAAAAACGCATAAAATAAAACGCTGGCTTTGAGACGATGGAACCTGAAATGGTAAAATGCTAACTCATTGCCAGGTTTTAGGACTCATTCCTGAACCACTCTCTTGTCCTTTCAGGCTAGAATTGAGCCGTCTCCCTGCTTGACTCGAGGATCACAAACACAGCTGTTTCTGTACAATTTGCCTCCTATTAAACATCCCTTCTGTGAAATTGTTAAAGACACAAAGGGCAAAGCCGTTTGTGCTTGCTCTGCGCCTTTCAGCTCAGCCTTCATTTGTCCAAAGAGAGTAGAAGAGGCCAGAATGGTAACAGGAGGACGTTGTGGCACCAGGCTCTGATAACCTTGAGTTCACTGCTTGGCCCGGTTTTGTCTTTTTTCCTTCTTTGGAGAATGAGTGGAGCCGATTTTGAGTGCAGATACAAACCAAACCTTTGTCTCGAGGGTAAGCGGTTCAAACCAGGATAACCCCGGCCTGTTAAAGGAAATGCAGTTCAAGCCGAGGAGAAAGAAGACACATTCAATGTGTGTAAGCTACCTTATAGCGTGTGAACGAGTAGTGGCAAAGCACATGCATTTATTCTATGAAACCCTTTCTTGACAACACATCACCAATCTAACTGCTATTTGGATGACAGACTAACATCGCCCCTTTGTTTGGCAACTGTCTATTTGCCTGACATTGTTTGTCATATCATACAGCTCAGGTTAGACAGACACGTCAAGAACATGCTTCTCCTCCGTCTTCTTGGTTACCAGGTTGACAAACTCTGCGCCATCTAATATACGATTGGTTGCCTAAAATGGAGTTGCAGTGGGGATTCTTACATATTGTTTTATACCTACACTTTTAAGAATACATGTTTTTACTGCATCATGTTTTATTCATATTATTTACAAATGCAAGAAACATGAAAATTATGTTTTAAGCGTTCTAAAAGCGCTGCGGCATGTATTTGTATGTAGGTGGCATGTGCCATGCAGTATTGGTACTGTATTTTGTGTATGCTATTGTATAAACCAAAGAACTGCAATGTTTAGTTGGAAAAACTAAAACCATTCGCACATTTTTGGATAAACTCATCGTTTCTGTGAATGTATGGATTTGCTGCCTTTCTTTGTCATAAATGATAGTTAATTCAATATCTTATCGTACAAGACTGTTGGTCGGACAATGTAAGCAATATGAAAGCCGAAGCTTCACTTTAAACAAATCAGTTAAAGGAGAAGATAACGAGAAGGTTAACCAATAATTAAACCAAACCTTAGTTTCCACTTTAATAAACCACATGTCTGAACGAACCACCATCTCACACTTACTCTGTCCTCAGCAGTTAGCCTGTTCAGTCAGATGATCGACTACTTTATTTATCTCTCTGTCTGACACACACACACACACACACACACACACACACACACACACACACACACACACACACACACACACACACACACACACACACACACACACACACACACACACACACACACACACACACACACACACACACGGTAATAATACCCATGGGTAATTGAATGGGGAACATCAGCCCCCATTGATTCAGCCTGAAAGCGTTTGACCTGTATTGAGGGTGAGGGTCAGTCGGAGCAGCTGAAGTCGCCTCGTTTATCGGAGATGGACGGCAGTGTCTCTGATCTTTAAACACACTACTCAGTGTCTGCAGGAAAAGTCTCTCAGGGGACCAAGGTCACTTTACATTGATGAGGATTTCAATGCAAGTGTTTGTCCTCAACACTGTCTCTCTGCCTTTCTGTGGTCAGAGTGGTTTAGTTTACAAAGCTAAAATGTCTCCTATTTTTCAGAGTTTCCGTAGTTTAGGACAGACAAAAAACAAATCATGAATTACCTTTTATACAGTGGTTCAGATGTGATCTCTCCTGAAGTTTTTAAATGTATTATTAATCAACATTTATGATTTTAATTTAAACGTTGTGGCTTCTTACATTTGAGGATGTTCTGCTTTTCTCTATTTTATGTAATGGTTGAATATTTTGATGAGACTTACAAGGAGATGTTTATTAAAAAAAAGATTAATCAGTAATGATAATAGCCCTACATTTAATAAACCAAAATAAGTTTGAACAATAGGATATTTTGTCTCAACTTGATATTATTCAGTGGTTGGTGGTTTTATAAGCCACATTTAGAGGACCAGGAGTCCAGAGTTGTGTGTCTCTTTGTAGTTAATTTAGCTGTTTTAGTGAAGTTATTGGGGCTATTTCAGTTGATTTATTTTGTCTGCATACAAAAATAATCCCCCGGTAAATCTAAGCCTGCCCTGAACGTTTTCCATTTGATGATTTTAATCTAAACTTGCAAGGGGAGAATCTCTCACTTCGAGTCTTTCTCCCACGGGCAGTTTGACATGCTCACAGTAAATGATATTATAAACCACCTCAGGCATTTGCTAGGGGCCTGTTGGGTAGGAAGCAATGGAGATATGTGAAACTGCGCTGAGGTTTGAACACCTGGACCCACTGTTGGCCCAGTACTGGAACAGTTAATGCTTCACTGCTATGTTGATGAAGGGAGGGCGCTCAATAAAGATTCTGTTTGCCTCATCAAGGACTCCATAAAACCACAATACCAGATGAAATACTGCTTTGATTCCCAGCTTTTCCAATCGATAGACACTCTTGTGTGTAATCTTCTGTGAAGCTATTGGAGTCGTTCCTTCTTGCATTATCACTGCAGGGTACATGTGGGCGTCTTGATAACCATGAAGTCAGAAGTCCGCTCACACGGCTCGCTGCCATGAAGCTTTACTTTTCCCCCAGCATCTAGGTCATGTTTTCACACGAATAGCTCCCAGATTGAAACAGTTCATTGCACCCTTAAAAAAAGGGGCTTGCATCGGGGCTCTATGGCAACGCACACATGTGAACCGCAATAAAATAGGAATTACATATATGTTTGTCTTCGGTCCAGAATAAGCAGAGTCCAAATCTAGTGCCATAATATACCTTTCTTACTGGTCTTGAACCAAGATGTACTTACCGTATGAACTTAAAGTGGAAAACCACCAATTAATGATACATTTGGAGTAAAAAAT